TGCTGCTGCACGTCGTGACAGTAGAGCATTCACTATGAATTTAAAAAGAAGAAAAATGCTTTTTATGTGCTGTAATATATGAAATCAGTGGAGTATATTGAAGTGGAGTAAAGATGACTGCAGAGGGTTTGGGTTTGTTTTCAGATCTAGGTTTTTCTAAGACAAAGACTCACCTCTCTGACAGGTACCTGCAAAGATTTGTAGACTGAAAAAAACAGAGTCAAAGCCTGAGAGTTAGATTTATGAATAATGCTCAACAAAGCAACTGTAAAGATATTTTTACTTCTTTTTTTTTTACCTACATTTTCCTCAAAACGTTGGCCTTTAAATTAGTTTCACAGTTGCTCCTTCTACCTTATGTGAGTTGTTCCTTCCCTGCTTATCACAGCTGTCTCTGCCAATCAGGCTGCAGCCTCTCACCGCTAAATGCCAGCTGTCATTAATGCAGCCTGATTGTACGACTGGGTGCAAATAGTTCCAGACTGAGAAGAGAATGACTGTTGATGCTGCTGTTAAGGACGGCACTTTCTGTCACTCACTGCCAGGTCCCCTGAGACAAAGTGATCTCTATCTTCTGTTTGTTAGAACCAATCTCAATCTCAGAAACACACACACACACACACACATGCAGCAACTTGCTGGGGTTGAAGCCGGAGCACTAAAGACTAAGCTAAGATGACAACATTCACTTCAAAGTTGATGGGATAAAGTTATTCCTCTTTCATGTTGCAACTGGCGAGTGCTGGGGTGAAGCAACTTTTTTATTTAAGCCTCGTCAACCGGGGGTTCGGAAGTCGACGGGGATTGAACTCTTATCCCAAGTTAAGTTCCCATCAGTTGAGAACTAGGTCACCTCGCTCTGCAGCACAGATGTGGCAATCACAAATATTGTGGGTGATGACCTGAAAGATATAAATGCACCATAACAACAGTGAAATACTTCACCTACGTTGTGTCATTTAAAAAAAAAAAATTTCGTCTTGTGATTCCTTTTGAAGGTAATGGTAGGAGGTGAGTGGTGAGGGGTAAAGGGTGAGGGTGAGTGTGATTCCTTTTGAAGGTAATGGTAGGGGGTAAAGGGTGATGGTGGTGTTGATGGTAGGGAACTGTACACCTCTGACAGTGTGCCAGTTCATAACAGCAGCAGCCAAACAAACATTCACACTCACACTCTTCCTAAACAGCTCTATTATATTTACAACCAGGGATCAAACCAATGACCCTTTTTTGCTGTAAGGCAAGTGCACAAACTTCTTACACAGTGTGGCTTCAACTTTAATGAGACTAAATCTAGTGTGTTATACCAGTTCCTCTGGGGCTTGAACCCAGGACCATCTGTCTGTAAGGCAGGCCTGATATCCGCTGTACATATGTCTGTCGATGAAAAAACCTGATTCAAATCACATAAACAGGTTCAAATATTACCTGTCGAAACATTAAAAATTGAAATCTGATTAATCAGAGGGTGCACATGGATTAATCGCGATTATTCACATGATTAACTGTGATCGTAATTAATCCCAATTAATCAACATTAATAAATATGACAAACAATTTTTTCCTGCATATTGTTGAAACAAAAAGACAAATAACGTGTGTTGATTAATGAGGGTGGAATTATTGGATTTCTTAGGATCAATTTCATGAAGTCATTAACACAATTAAACAGATCTAACATCAACTGAAGGTCCAGACCTCAGCTTTATAATAGGGCCGTCAAAATGATTATTTCATGGTGTTGTTGGAGCGTCCACTAGGGGCTGCGTGTTTGTTAGCAGCATCAGGTCTTGACTGAGTTGTTCAGGGCAAAACAGCAAATAATTCAGATGGTCACCATCTACTGTTATAATGTTACACTCAGGGAGTCGGGGGGGATTTCTGAACAAAACTTTTCTATTTTGCTCCCGACAAAACAAATGCGAAGTGCGAGCGTGAAATGGGCGCTAATCTCATTGCAATACATCACAGTCAGATGGCTAACAAATGACAATATGTTGTTTCATATAGCAATTTACTGTTAGCAAAGGCTGAGAGCCAAATCCTCCAGTTAGGAAATTTGGAGCCTAAATGGTTGCAGACTGAGATGCGCAGTGATGATAAATTATAGGATGGATTCAAGTAGAATTGATGATGGAGATTTAGGTTTGGTTGTTGTTGTCATGATGAAATGCACAAAGGTTTGCCTGATTTATTTGTGCCGTGGAAGCCTTTAGTAGAATACTGCAGCTCCAACTCTGGTTCAGAACCAAACACAACAATTCATACAAAAAAGTGTCTTAGTCTCACTGTAACTCAGTGTTTCTCAAAATGTGGGGCAGATACACCTAATGCACACGGAACACGGATGAATTTCAACTTGAATACATGCAGATTTGAGGGACCAGGTGAGGTGAGGCAAAATCCACAAATTCTTCCTTTTTTGTACCATTAAGAAATAAAGTGTGGGGTCTCCACCGACACCTGCGTTATCCAAAAGTTTTACCGACTCTTTGAACACCTCGGCCTCGCCTCCCTAACTCTTCTGTCCCAGGAAATCTCAGCCTCTTCCTGTCGTCCACCTCCAGCTCTGCGTGTTGACTTTCAGACAGGGTCACTGCCTCCAGGCCATTCAGCGTAACACGTCTCACCGCCATTAAAGTGAGGGGTGTAAAAGTCTTCATTTTATTAGTAAAAATCTTATATCAAATTTATCATCGAGCCGTGTGCGTTATCGTTGCGCAGGGCTGTAATAAATCGCAAATTCCCCAAATTCATTAAAATACGCGGTAATGTAAGAATAAATATTAGAAAAGCGACGCAGAGCCACAAAACTTGAAAAGTATGACCCTGAAATCTGATCTGAGTGGAGGAGAAATTATGTAAAATAATTAGCGTTACATTTTGTCTAATTAATGCCAGCATTAATGTTCTACTTCTTGTTTCTCTCATTTCCAGTCTCCTCTGTGTGACCTGACCGGTAAAAACTCATTAGATGATTCATTTAAGAATCACAAATATAACAGATCGTAAATTAATGTATCCAGTGAAGATACATAACATTTTAAGGGCTCTAATGAGTTTGGAGCAGCTCATCATTAGCTGCTGCCTCAGGTATTGATCTCTACCCTGCACTCAGTGCTGTGTACTTTGGTGCCGTAAGGAGCGAGGAGTCACCGGAGTGCTGATCGCTCACCTCCTCCAACGGGAGGCACACACACACACACACTCTGCACGACACGGCCCTTTGACTCATCTCTCAGCTGGAGAGAGTGTCCGAAACACTGAGCACCACTTCCTGTGTTCTCACCATCCCTCCACCTCTCAGGCCTCCGTCAGGACCGCCCGCTGCTGCCTACCTGCTCTTGTTGTCACCGTGACACGGTCCAGTGAGTCACGGTCCAGCCGAGCAGCTGCCACCGCCTGAAGGACGCCCACACCATCAAAGACAACACCAGTGCACTTCACTCATCTTCACACGCACCAGCGGAGCTGCAGCGGCGTCCGTGAGGCACCGTGTGTAAAACAGTATATCACACTCTGTATATATATATGTGTGTGTGTATATCTCACTTTGTTGGCCAAAGAGTCGATATTTTTTCTAAGAATATAACATTATTCACCTCTTTGGTCTGAAAATCAATGACAAAACAACAACAACAAAAAACACTCTCTGTCCTAATTTCATTTGTTAAATATTAGGGTTGTCCTTACACCATATTTCACCAAACATTACCAAGTGCTTTATCAACCCAAACAACAGTGAAGACACCGAGATGGAAAATGTTTATAGCCAAAGATTCAATAAAGAACCTTCTGCATAGTAACCACAGTCAGCTGAGCAGAAAGTGAGCGGAGCTTTTTCCACCAATAGTCTCCTGATTTACTGAAGTTCCACGAAATGGCTCTACATCAATGTCTGTAGTTCAGTTGAAATACAACGAAGCTAACCGCTAACTGTCTGCATTGTCTTTTCTTTGTTTGCCATGGAGAATCATACGTTAACTTTTCCAAAAAAAAAAAACCCAACAACAACAAAAAAACCAAAAAAACCCCTACACTTGGCCTGCAGTGTCTGAGGAATTTCTAGTGTCTTTTCATCCGTTTCAAATGAGCTCAGGTCGAGGAGACCTGACAGTGGGTCTGCACCAAACTGATATATGGCCTTTTCTTTGCATAATAAAGTCTTAGAAAGACGGTTCTGCTGCTGCTGCTGTGGACGCTGGTGGGTTTTTCTGAAGTTGTTCTGAGATTCCAAAGATTAGCAGCAAACCTTCAGAGGATGCTGCTTTCACTGCCTGTGAAATACAGTGATCTATGATCACGTCACGTACTGGTGAGTGACCGCTCACAAAGTCACTCTCACGACTTTGTAAGTCGTAACTTGACCTCTATCCTAACGCCATCCTAATGAAATCTCCAAATCAGTGTGTGTTTAAAAAATATAAAAAGGTTGGTCATTGAAAACAGTAAAAGTAATGACTGTAATGGCTGAAAAAAAACTGGTCATTGAAAACAGTAAAAGTAATGATGTGGCTGAAAAAAAACAAAAAACTGTTGCTTTGAATGGTTGTCAGCACCGTCTCATTATCTCAGGTTTGTGTGTTTTCAAGTCTACCAATTATCCAGACGGGAAAAAGGAAATAGAAAAAAAGGTTCGTGAGTTACCTACGGTCACTGAGCAGCCACCTACTGTACATCCAGTGTAAATTCACTAACTTCAACTTACTTTCATGTTTTCTCCACAGCTGCTTTTTAAGGCTTTTCAAATATATGAGCTCACCTGCAGACAGCGGAGTGTCTGTCAGAGAGATTTTAGAGCTAATAATTCACCAGCACCTGCTGTCACCCGTCAGAGGTTCATTCACTCCTCACATCAGCACCACCCAGAGCCAGGAGCTGGTTGTCTCACCTTTGTTCAGCGCTCGACACTACGCTGTCGGCACTTTTCCTGCTGCAGATCTGCAGCTCGAAGGCGACGTCTTGACGTGTGCCTCTGACGCTGCCTGCTTATATGTCTGTTTTGACACTAATTGTGAATTATTTACCCTTGTTTTTCGCAGTTTTTGTTTGTCAGCCTAGTCGGAGCTCCAGTATTGTCAAGTGGATTGAGCAGGAGTTGCTGTTTTATCAGCTTTTTGTTTTTTTTTTTCCAAATTCTGATGAACTGAATTTAATAAAACAGTTAGCAAACGGCTTCATTGTGGCTAAAATACACAAAACACAAAGAGATGGGTTTATTAATGTAAATATAAATTTACATTGCATTTTCTAAAAAAATCCTTCAAATATTTAATTTAAATTTGTTGTTTTTAATGTTCTAACAATTTTTCAACCTCTTGTCTGAACTTCAACACAGAGGGAGAAAAAAGAAAAAAGTTTTTGGTCATTTTTTTCTAAATATTGTTGACTACAGACCAAAGAAATGGATGTGATGCCTCTTTCTATTTTTTTTTTTTTTTTTTTTTTTACATTTATTGCAAGAACACATCCAAACTCTGAGCAAGAGGACACTTGTGTATAAAATATTGATAAATAGATCAAGTGCTTTGGAAACAGCTTCACCCCAAGTTCAGAAATGATGCAATGTTTTAGATTCTGGTGTTGTTTATCATGATAGAGCAAAAAATAAAATAAAATAAAATAAATCGGCCTGAGAGAAACGGCAACACCAAATAAAATTTGAAAGAATTTCTTCTTCATTTAGGTCAACAGACAGGAAGTTATCACTATGTCATTTAGTCATTTGTTTTGTGATTGAACAAACACTGATCTGTATTTACAACTCACTTGCACAGATTGGTCACATGGTGTTTTTTGTCACATGTACAGTAGCATCTGTACTGACTGCACCTGGATGAGTTACAGTTGAGCCTGGTTTTCCCTGGGAGACAGTGGGAATACCCTGAAGTGCAGTCAACACTCACCAAAGTGAGCAGTATTAGTGTAGCAGCTGAGACAGACTTCCAGAAGGCGGACGTGCGTTCACCCACCTCACCATTAGCCTCCTGACACGATCTGTCAGCGGAGGATGTTCCCTAAAACAAAGCAGCCCTCAGTGTTCAGAGCCGGCGACATTTTCAAGCCGTGAAATTAGATAATGATTTCTCCACATGAGCTCTGTGTGCCGCTGTCATGCAGGATGTAGGACAGCCTATTTTCACAGTGATAAATATGTAATAAATAAATAAGAGGAAAGAGCTGATTGACTTTGTTCAAACGCTCCGGAGAGTTCTTTGATGTGGAGCGCGGCACGGAGCCAACGCAGTGGAGAGACTGAGCCACTTCGAATTAGTACAGAGTCAATCTCTGAGGGTTTTTAATTTATCTGTTGTTTCACTGTTTTATTTCCTATTTTTTCTTTCTTCTTCTTTTCAGGTTCCTTTTCTTTGACATCTATCTCCTCTTTTTTCTTTGCTTCCTAACCTCAGTTACCTTCCTCTTTCTCATTCTTCACTTTCATTTCCTACGTCCTATCCCTTATTTTGTGCATACAAATTTCTTTTCCTCTCCCTACCTCCCTCCATCCTTTCTTTCTTCATTCTTTCCTTGCTTCTTCCCTTCCCTCTCCTTACTCCCCAACGTTTATCAGTCGTTCTTCTTCTTTTTTTCTGCCCTGGTTTCCTCACCTTTATCCTCACCTTTCCCTCTTAAATTCCTTTCATCTTTCTTTTTTCCTTCTTCCTTTTCTCAGATTCCTCTGTTTCCTTTCTCCTTTTTTCCTTCCTTCAATCTCAATTTCAGTCTCTGAAAATGATAAGGGATGTGGCCTAATAGTGTGACCCAACTTGTCTGTCCCACATTTTTGGAGTCTATTGAACTTAAAAATTCTACATTTGTATTGAAGGTTTGCTCAGAAAATGAAGGTTCATGAACATTGGTATCAGACCGGTTAAAAAAACTGATCAAACTTTTTAAAAAAGTTCAAGGATTTTTTTTTAAATAAACACATTTTTTTCATGAAAATTCTGGTAAAGCACGTTACACTATGTCTAATCTCTCACTGGTGAAATGTTTTTTTTTCTTACATCAATAACAGCAGATTTGTGAATTATAAAATAATCCTACTCCAGTTTTATTTACCTGTTTAAATGTCACCTTTTAAAGAAGCTCACTGGTGTTTTTTCCTCCCTGTCTTTCCTTCTAATATGCCAGCGCCTTATCACTCTCCAGACCGTGAGCAATTAATCATGTCGAAGGGCAATAAGTTCCAATTCACAGCACGGCCTCACACGCAGCTCCTAATGACTTGTCCGTAAATGAAAACAAACAGGACGGCTCACAGGTTGCCATTATGTAAGTCTCATGCTGCCGCAGGGAACGACTGCCCACAAACACCACATGGTCCACAGTCAGAGTCAAAGTCAGGGAGTCTTCACTCTGCTCAGCTCATCTGCCTGGGCTTCAGTGAGGACCATTCACTGACAACACTGTGTCTCAAAATTATGGAGGAATACTACTGACTGTTGAAATGCTCAGGATTGGTCATTAAGTGGCCGCTCTCTCCACTCCCCCACCTGACGACCAGTAAAACCCGGTGGGCTCCTGGACGGGCCCTCGGTTCTCACCTATGATGGATGATATTGACTCACAGGGTTTTAAGTTTTAATAACGGCCCGGTGTTTGGAGGCTTATGTGAGGAAAACGCAGCGCAGCGTCAGTTCTCAGTGTTGTCTTTTAGCTTTGTGAGCAGAAATGTGAAAACTCCCACTTCGAATTAAACACATGGAACTCAATTAACCTCTTAAATAAAGGCAGCGTCTTGGCGAATGATGATGAATGATGACTCACTGAGATGATGATGCGGCGCAGGAGAAGCTGCCAACCATATGTTAGTGGGTCCTACAGCGTCCTACAACCAAGAAACCAATGGGAGTTGTCTTCAGCGCCCCCTGCAATCATAAAGAATAAGATAAATTAATGAATGAATGAATAATCAATTCAGCTACAATTAGTCATTTACAGATTATATTAGGTTTGGTAGTATTTCTATGAGAAATAAGAAAAGGAACAGTTACAAAAAAACAATTTAAGTACTTTCACATTATTCATGCTCATGGTAGTTGTATTATTTTTTATTTCATAAGCTTCAGTAAAACATGTTAAGAAACCATGTGATTATTTTCCAAGTCGTAACATTAATAAAAAAAAATCTTTAAAGTCAGATATCAGTTTTTCTCGCTGTTGTAATTGAAAAGATTGTAGACCATTAATTCTTTTTTTTTTTCAAATTAAAATTGAAACTTTTAAAAACTCTGTGTCAGCCTTCTGCAGAAATTCTAATACATTTCTCAAACTTGACAGAGTCCAGGAATTAAGATCATCTTTTTAAACTTCTTCGACATCGACGCTTTTCAATTTATTTTTTTTTGAAAATCAATAAGTACTACATTTTCTTTTACCGTCCTTGAATTCCAAACTGTCTTTAATCATCTACAAAAAATGTTAAACTTTCAAAACATTGAATGGAAAATGTTCTTCATACTATCTCATAAATGTTGACTGACATCAAGGATTTGATGGATTTGAATATGAGGACGGGGTTATGCATTAGCTCGTTATGACTTCAATTAGACAAACAGCCAATCAGCTGACTCCTGTGTCTAAGATTAGTCTCTAACATGAGTTAAATTATTATTTTCTTTAATTGAGGAATCTGAAGGTAAAAGTTCACACAGAGAAAATGACACTATTTCCCACAGATGTGCTGCAGGTCATATGAGCAGTAACCAAATAAACTTCCCACTGAAATATTAAAACTATTACGTCATTTGATCCTGTTTAAAATTCTCCAGTGAAAGCTGGAAGCCACCTCCAATAACTGAAATCTCCGTGGGGGGACGGGGGGTTGGGAGGGTCTGCTGCTGCTGTCTCATAACATTATAACTGCGGGTGCTGGTCCACCAACTGTTGCTGTGTTTTGATTAGATGCCCTGTCCACAGAGGACGAATGTTCTAGGGTCCAGCTGCAGTCAGAGCTGGGCTGCAGCGATGGGCGGAGCTACTGTCCTGGCAGCATCGGCGCCCAGGGGACGGAGAAGGCTGAGGTGAACACATTTGGATGCCAGTCGCCGGGAAGAAATGTTAAAAACCCAGAGAAGCAGTGACAGAGGGAGCAGAGAGGCAGAGGCCTGGAGTGAACATGACTTGGGCTAATCACCGAATGACTGTTTATATGGGTTTTCTACTCGATTAGAAACAGCACACGTTCGCTCTAATGTTGAAAATGGTTTTCTACTCGATTAGAAACAGCACATGTTCGCTCTAATGTTGAAAATAAACCCTGTCAGTGCAGAACCCTGTCAGTGCAGACAGACGTCACCATCTTTGACTTCCTGATAAATGATGTATACACGCGCTGCGTTGACTTACAGGACGCCGTCATGTCAAACACATGCCAGGCTTCGATCACACATCTCACAGTTTCAAGCAAAAGGTCAACGTCAAGATGACTATAGAGATGCAGCGCTGATGAAACATTTCAATTGTCACACTTTCACATATTTATTTTATTCTCTTCTAGATGCAGCATTCAGCCGTTTCATAAAAATACTATTAAAATACCTTTATCCTGCCGATTTGTAGCATTTCACACTGTCTGATCTGATAAGTATTCAGAGTTTTTATTTTTCTCTTTCACCTCTGATAAGGTGTAAAGTCTGCTTGTAGCCCTTATTTTAAAGCTGTGCTCTTCTTCTCTTTTCTACAATTTAATAGTTACTTCAATACAGAGTGGAGGGAAACTGTGACTAAGGTTCCTCCACACAAACACAGTCATGCTGCATTCACAGTGAGAAGAGTCATGATCACAGTGAGTAAAAAATGCCACATTTGCACTGACACTGATGCTAACTCACCCGTACACGTCCTTTAGCGCACTGCGGGGGGGAATCACTGCCCTTAGCCATCAAATATAAATATAAGTAAAAAAGTTATAATTTGTCTTTCTGTACCAGCTTTATACAAAGAAAACCTTTTTGTTATATTTGGGAATGTTGATTTCCCCCTTAATTAATCATGATTAACTGTATGTAATATGCTGTAAATATATATATATATATAAATATATATAAGTATATATATATGTATAACTGCACAATATTAAAAACATAACTCATATATCCCATGGAAACATATTGGACTGGTTTTAATGGAACCAGTAGTTAATGATGTTACATGATGTGGAGTTTGAAACCATCAGGACAGCACTCCCTGTGGGGATGTGGCTCAGCTGGCTGTGTCTGGTCAGTGAAGTTTGTATAACTGACTGACCGACTGACTGACCGACTGACTGACTGACTGACTGACTGATGTTTATATGTTGTTGATGAAGTCGTGACGTTGTCTCTTTAAGAGAGAATCTCAACAACACCTTTGTGCTGATCTACAGAGACCGTGATGTTCCGTCCAGATTTAACACTCCCATGCAGATGATTTACTTCCACTGATTACATCCTTAACTGAGAGGAAAATAAAATGGCTTGTGGGTAAAAAGCGCCTGTTTTTTTTTTTTTTTTTTTTTGGTAACGCAGCATGGGTTGTTGAATTTTATTAGACCAACATGGTGGATGAGGGATTCACCTTTATTGTGCGCTGGCCCTCAGGCGTCAGTCTTCCTGGCAGGTTCTGTCGATAATGACGTCCCCCTCTTGCCAAATATTCAACCCCCAGAGTCACTGGAGAGACGAGGTACACACTCCGGAGAGTGTGTGTGTGTGGTTGTTTACGAGTAACAGAAGTTTGGACCTTTTTTTTTTTCATTTTCAAGGAGCAACTCTGCAGTGCAGCAGTGGAGTGAACGCAGGTTTGTGTTGGTTCAAAATAGTGTTTAATCATGTTTTTCCAAATGACTGAATTCACTTTTGTCTAGTTTATTAATGAACCTGTTACGGTACGCTCGGTGGTTTTAATTCTTTCTCTAAGAGAAACTCTTCCTCCGTCATCTTCCCTTTTCCCTCCCTCTACAGCTGAGCCACAGGCTGTTCCCGGCTGCGAGGGGATTTGGCAACAACCGGATTTGAGCCAGCTGTGCCGCGTGACACAAATGGAGCAGAATGTATCTGTGATTATTCTGATTGTTACAGATGTGGCGCCATTTGGTAACTCGTCTGTATGGACAGAATCAGAGACGTGAACAGCCGTTATTTCAAACCAGCTCTGTGGAATTGTCCAGAATAAAATGGATATGTTGTGGTAGTTGAACCATCCTGATGTCATGGGTTTTTTTTTTTTTTGGTCTTTTCAAATCAAAAGAAAACTGTCACAATTGGCTTCACAATTCATTACAAAGCTGCCTTTACAAATGGAAGGCTTTTGATCACGAACATGTCAAAGTTTTTTTTTTTTTGCTCATTTAAAAGGCAATCAGGAAAAGCAGTCCTTGCGCCTGTCTGTCATGACAGTACTGCAATACTTACGCATACATTTCATGTACACATTCGTAAGAGCAAATCTTGTCTTTTGACTAAATTGTAACTTAGTTGTTGTTATTATAATTATTTTTATTTCTGAGTCATTGTTTTTATGCTACTGTCTGTAATTTCTGTCTCTCTCTTTTTTAAACTCTGGTGGAACACAGGGTTTTCAGACACAACATTTTATTCAACACTGTGGATGAATGCCAGATTTTCTATGGACCCTGCACAGAGCAGCCTGACGAGGCCTGGAGACGACCACTGAATGTTCGATGGCTGACCGTTGAGCTTGGTGTGTCCTGGGCCTGAGCAATAAATAATGAATTGCACAGAGCCAGACACCGGCACACACCCATTCAGGTCCAGGTTCCATGAGGAACCTCGGTGCATTTTACAAAGCAGAATCTCACCTCCATGTACCATCAACAGTGTCATTTCAACCTGTTCATTATTCAATTAGTTCATACTTTCCTATTTTTGTAACAATTTTCAAATGAGAAAAGTTCAACCTAATCTAATCTAATTTACAGCTGATCGCTGCACTTGTGTCACAGGCATTTACAGGGACATAATCAAAAGTTTTTGTGGCTACTGTAACATTTCAGGTTCCTTAGAACAGTGGTTCTCAAACTGTGGCAAGCGTACCACCAGTTGTACACGAGCACTCTCTAGTGGTACACATTTACAATTGAATAAATCTGAAACATACCATGCACAATTAATACAACAGCTCAATGTTTTCTCCGGTGGTACATCAGGTGGAGTATAAAACGTTTGAGAACCACTGCCTTAGAACATCAGTGTCCAGTTCTGATGGAGTCCTGGAAACAAGAACCACGACTGAGTGACTGTAAAACAAAACTCTGTGAAAACATTGACTTCCTCCAGTGATTAGCATAATTTCCTCACTAACCAAGTGGTTCAATTTTGCACCCCCACCCTCACCCCCACCCTCACCCCCACCCTCACCAGGTACCTGTTTGTACAATTTACCCTAAGCTCTTATTAAAAATAAAGACAAAGTCATTACGGTCCATGATTCCAGACCTCACATGGCTCCAAAATCAAAATGCTGGCTGTGTTCTAAGCCATAAATTTGTAATGGTTTTTAGGGATCGTTTGGACCTTGAAATTTATTCATGAGTCAAACCTAAATTGCTCTCCAGGAAACGACCATTACCGCTCTAACTGTGAGGCATCTCTGCAGAAACACTTCCCTGGACTTTAGTGTTACAACAGAAATAAACACACGTGAAAATAACAACGACATCACCCAACAACAGCTTAACTTGTGACATCACTCCACGGCTTCAGGTTAGAAGGACGACAACAGCAATTTCCAAAACCGTAAAAAAGTATTTGCTCTCACTCAACGAATTTCTGTGTAACTTTTTACAACAACGTTTATCTCGACAATTTCCGACACCGGAAACATCTTCTTTGACAAAGAAGTAAAAAATTAATCTAGTATTGACAGT